TCTGGAAATTTTTAAAACCAACTTGTCTATTTTTGAAACAATTGCCTGTCGATTTGAGGTTTTTCATTGTTCATTTCTAAATAATTATTACGTTGTTTTCATCTTCTCGAAACTTTGTTACGTCATATAAATGGCGACTTAAATCATTTCACAAGTTCTCAATTTTTCAGTGAAAAATATTGATTCTCCATGGGCATCCTTTTCACTTTTGTTTCGATGAGTTGTTGAGGTAATTCCACAAGTTAGAAATAATTTTTAGAAAAATTTGCTTTAATCATTTTATAATTTATTGAACTCAGATACACCTGACATATTTTAAAAGAAATTCTCATCTTTTCAAATGTCGATTCTGAAGTCGGAAACGGACGTAGGTTCCATGGCGACCTCTGATTGGGCAACTTCTGTAACTATTCGATGCACGAACGAACCATACGAATATCATCTTTCTGTACGTGGTCATACGAATGTGATCTGACGTCACTGTATAGTTCTGTCCCCCCACCAACAACGTGATACCAAATGTTGCGCATGCAGCTACGTCGATTTTCGTTTAGTAAGAGAATCAAACATGGCCGCAAGAAGTGTTTGTCCTCACTGATATTGCTATAGAAAATAACTAACGTAACCCTAAATAGTGGTAAATTGTGTCATTCTAACCTAAAACAGTGAAATTTTATGACAAGTGTTTGAAAACAATTAATATTAATCGTTTTATGTTATATTTATTGGTTTAAAATTTCTCTTGGTTGCGTACAGCACAAAATGGCGATCGACTACTCTTGACTGGGATTTTTTTGCGAAACTTTTAATTTTATTGAACTTTTAATAATATTTTTGCTCTTTTAACGCTATGGTAATTTTGATAAGGACCTTTTCTGCATTTATGAAATATTTGAATGTTGATTATTTGTTGTGAATAAGCAAAAATCTTTGATATCCAGCTGGAAAATGCCTGAGGTGAGTTACCCCTTACAAATAATTAACTAGTGGTGTTTTTTAAGAGAAAAAATGTTTTCAGTGTGTTTCTGGGTGTCCTTTGAACCTTATCTTGTTAAGAAGTCAAGGGCGTGGCCCCTCTTTTTGTAACATATTCCCCACATTTTCTTAGAATATTTTTGTTTACAAGTAGTTTTTCATCAATAATACCCTCTAATGAGGGGTGTTCCAACTTTTTCTCAATAGATTTACATTCTCCACACTTCTATCCTTCCATACAGCCAGAAATTTTGAATTTTTGAGATGGACCCATTTGAGCAATTTGGGGCTAAAGTTTGAAAATTATAGAAACAGAACCTCTGAAATGGATTTCTGGATGAGATTTTATTAGTATTGACGGCTTTTCAGATCCATTTGGTGTTTATTTTAGACAAAAGAGCACTTGTTTTGAGGAGATGATCCAGGTCTATTTTTCCTTTTTTTTTAAGATATGGGGAGTATATTGGGGGGGCATTACAACTTTATGTTGATACTGAAGTTGTGGCAGGGAATAAAACTAGTAAGCTTTGCTCCAAATCAATAGATAAAGAAGATATCACAAGAAAAATCATGTTTAATTCCACCACTTCGAATAGAAAACATATATAAGGGACCAACCCCCTTTGGATGTCCCTTTTATTTTTAGTAATGAAAACCTTGTGTGAAAATTAAATTGGAGAGATAAACATTATTTTTGAATAGTTATTATTTTTCACTTCCTTCTAGATTTATAAACTGGAAGAAAAAAAATATTCGTGATTATAACCTCAAAATTTCTGGTTTGATCCTGAACATATTGAGAAAATAAAGCAATATTCATGGTTGATTTTTTCAGTTTTGCATTCTTTGTCACGTTTAAAGACATTGAAATGTATAAAGAAAGTCTGTCAAAATGTCCAAAACTCATTTTAAATCCAAATGTCATTAAAAATCTGCTCAAATTACTCGTCTCCCTGACATTTATTGATCTGTAGAAGTCATTAAAAAAATGAGAAAAAAGGTCACCCATGATGTTTGTTAATTTCATTCTTTCTTTTTCAGATGGGAGACATTTCTGACTCAGAAAATTCTGGATCTGGGTCAGACAATGAAAGCAAAAGCGATTCGTCATCCAATAACTCGGAGAGGTAAGTTGAAATCTATGAAATTGATTTTATTATTCCTCAACTGCCATGAACGTTTTGTCTTTATCTTTCATAGCATTCTGTTTTTTTGTATGTGGATTTTTTATTAGTTAACATATGCATAACATATTCATTGAGGTTAACTACAACAAAAAATAATCTGCGAAAGAGATTCGAAAGTTATATGGATTGTCGTCAGGAAGGTTTTCTCTAAGTGATGATATTGATTTTATGTGAAAATGTTTTTTCATTCATTTCCATAATTTGTTCCGAGATCATAATCTGATTTTTTCATGTTTATTCTATTTTCGGCTCTGGAACTCAGTGTAAAAGATTGCTTCACTTCACTTTTTGTACCGTAGATGTAGTTTCAAGGTACGGTACCTTTATCATTTGCATATATTGCAAGGTAATTTTGTCTTCAAAGAAATGCAAAAACACTTTTGTCAATTTTTTCACCGAAAATATCAAGGAAATCATTTCGAGATACATTTATTGATATTGACTGATGGTTTGAACAGTATAATGAAAAAGGGAAAGTTTCGAAGCTTCCTAATTTATCTTTTAATCTTAAATATCTTATTGTATCAAAAATAAAGAATGCATTTTTTCACTGGAACATAAAAATGAACCATAAGTATCTTTGACATTTTTTGGAGTACAACAAACGGATACACTTATGTTGATGTTTAAAAAATAACCCCTCCCATGAGATTTTTCAGGCAAATGAAGTAAAAAAATGGCATTAAAAACGTTAATGAAAAGTATGTGAATTGGTGAAAAATCTCAATTCTTCAATTTTTATTTTCAAACTGAGCACATCGTCTTTGATTTTTACTACAAGTTGTTTGGCAATATTTGTGTATACTACTGGAGTTTTATTCCAACACAGAGCGCTAAAATATTGCATTTGGAGAAAATGGCTGCTAAGGCGTCATTTTGAGAGGAAACGGCCACTTGTTTTGTGTCCTCAAAAAAATAATTTTATATTCTGTCAGATGTTCTACAAAATATACAGAAGAAAGGTTTTGGCTTTCTATTTCTCCATCTTTATATAAGAAAGGGGGAATCTCCCAAAGAAAGGGCGGAAGCTTCCAAAGAATAGGCAGAAGCAATTAATTTCAAAAAAGTGATTCTATCTATACAAAGATGTGTAGATCATGCAAAGAAGTAACTTTCAGATACAAACTGGAAGAAAAAACCCTCTCAAAACAACTTCTTTCATATAAACGTTGGATTACACGAAAAGAAAAAATACTTTTTGAAACAACTTCTTTTATATGAACATTGAACTATACAAAAAACAATTTTTTTTAGCCAGTTTGTACTCCAAATATTCCTTATGGAATTGAATTACTATACTACACAGTATAGTATGCCGAAGACTTTTCCTCTCTTTAAGAAAATAGATCACACTTTTATTAAAAAAATTATTTATTCGTCAATTCCTATTTTGTTTTCTTCAAAGTCTTGGGAAGAGAAAAAAGTCGCAGGGAGCCAAATCTGGTGAATACGGTGACCGAGGTATGATTACGGTGTTGTTTTTGGCCAATTAATTACGAACAAGCAATTACAAGTGAGCAGGTGCACTACGCTACGGCAATCGAAGGAAACTGAGCAAAACCTTGACATTTAATAGAACTTGTGCTTGTGTATTAGTTGTCTTGTTTTTTTTAAAATCTCCCCTTGAAGACTTAATTCCAAATCAAAAATTGTCAGGCCTGCCTTTCTTTTAAGTGTCTGAATATGCAGAATATTACAATGTCCTTCTGGTTTGGATTAGAATAATTTTTCACCGGTCAAGTCTTATGATAATGTAATTTTCAGGGCCTCTTCGAAGCTTTGTTGGTGTTTTTTATCTAACATTGTCAAATTAGGGCCTAGAGCGAGGTTCTGCAATTGGTCACTGGAAAATTATTAAATAATTTTGACGGTATTACCCAAGCAGAATACACTGGAATTGTTTATAATTGTGGAATGATTCTTGTATGTAACTCAATTTTTGAAGAATTAACATTTGTTCATGATAACAGTTTGAAAAATAATTGTTGTTTTCAGCGGATCTGGGTCCTCTTCGTCAGATGGATCAGAAAGCGGTGGTGAGAATGCTCAAAATGGATGCATCAACGATGTATCAAAAAATGAAGACAGTAGTCAGTTCACCAACTTTTCTAACAATACCGAGCAAAGTTCTCCCGAGCAACAACATGATACATCAAAAGAGGTAAGACTTCAAAATATAATTGCTTATTTTTTAGTTATTTATTTTTAGTTTCGAATTCATGAATACCAACAGAAAATTTATCATATCTATTCAAATTTTTTTCTTCATATTCGTATTCAAGATAAGTTATGTGATATATATTTTTATACATTTATTTTCACTGAGTAGAACACTGAATGTCTACAGTTTTCATCGCCTTGAAAAAAGTATTGGAACTGTTTCATTGATTGACTTGTGCATCGAAGAAAGGAAAATCTAATTGTCAAACCACTTATCCAGTTTATATTGTATGAAATGTTCAAATTGATTTATAAATCAAAGACGGTTTCACAATGTCAAGAATTCCAATAAATTTTATAAATAAAAATTTTACATTTGAAATTTGATATAAACAAAACAATGCTGATAACTAAAGAAAATTTGCTATTACATTCTTTGGAGAATGATTGAAATCAAGAAAACATTTATGAGGTTTGCGAACAGCCAGTAGTCGCTGGAAGCCAAATCTGGCGAGTACACTGGATGTGGAAGAATTCGAAGTTCAATTCATGTATATATGCCATTGTTTTGATTGACTTGTGACACGGTGCATCGTCTTGATGGAACAACATTTTTTTCTTTGCCACATGCGGTCGTTTCTTTGCAATTTCGGCCTTCAAAAGCACCAATAATGTTCATTGTTGATGGTATTTCCCTTCTCTAGATAGTCGATGAATATTACACAACGCACATTACAAAATACGGAGGCCAATTGTGCTTTTAGGCACTTTGGACGAAGTTCACCAGTTGCTCTCTACTCAGATGGGTTTGATTCAGGAGTGAAGTGATGGATCAATTTTTCATCCGTTGTCACATATCGACGCAGAAATTCTGGTTTGTTATGTTCAAACGTGGCCAAACAGTGATCTCGCGCAGCACCCACTTTGAGCAGAGCTTTCTCATAGTCAAATGCTCATGCAATATAAAGCCAACACGTTCTTTTGATATCTTAACAATGTCAGCTAACCCACGCAACTTCACTTCGATCATTGAAAACGATTTTGTGGGTTATTTTCATTGTTTTGTGGTGTTACTGCCTCATTTGGACATCCACTGAGTTCTGCCTCAACAGTGTCTCTTCGACCACGTTTGAAGTCAGCAAACCAACTGTTAATTGTTGTTTCTGATGGAGCAGAGTCCTTATAACACTTTCTGAGCCATTGCTTCGCTTGAACGGTATATTTTCTCATCAGGAAACAGTATGAAATTGAAACACGAAATTGTTTAAAAACAAAAGTAGTGTCACTCTTAGCACAATAACTCACAAACTCATGTGTAGAATATCATGAAATTTCAACAGATTTCTGTTGAATTTTCATGGTTGAATTTTCTTTGGGTATTGATGGCACCACTGATAGCCAGACAAGCCTGTCTCTGTAAGCCAGAGAGCTTCACTTGGGCCGTTTTCTGTAAAGCCTTCGGCCACCAAGCAATTGCACCATAAGTGATCATTGGTCTGACAATCCTCTTGAAGGTTAGTACCTTGCGGGACTTGCTCATGTAGTATGGTGAAAATTTTAAATAATAATGGACCACAGTGTCTAGCCTGGGGAACAAGGGCACATATAACACATGTTATTTATCTTGATTCATTGGTAAACTATTGAAGCATTGCTGAATTTCCTTCCTTTAATCAAATGATAGAGCTGACCCTTACTTGATGAAAATTTATTATAATTTATTTAAAAAACACTCTTCAATGCGAGATTTCCACTTGAAAATTTACTACGGTATTCTGGACAGATCTCCGATTCAGGTAAAATGATAGCTCAGGTATAAATTATTATTCATTACTCTACAGTCTTATGAGTTGTTCCTTGATAAGTAAATACTTCAGGTAATGAATTTATCATGTAGAATGCAGAAATTTGATAGATAGTAATAGTCATATATGATTCAAATTAATATAAAAACAAGCCAGAGAATTTGCACAAACAGTATTGTGACTCCCGAAGATGCTATCAATAACGAAACACGTGTCTCACATTAAAGTCTGCATTTTGAATATGTTTCTTAAATCAAATCATTGTTACCTTTGACAAAATAATTTTGTAATTGACTTTATCAAATACTTTCGAGGAATCTGCTGAAATCAAGGCAGACTTGGTTTCATTTTTCAAAAGCAGCCGTTTCCTTGATAAGCAAATTATAATTGGTAAGCATGGACATTTTCCCACAAGAAGACTACTTCTATCAATTGACAGAAAAATGTGTTACTAGTTGACGATCTATCTGAAGCTATCATACATGCAGTTGAGCCGCGTTGAAGTCAATCGAGTTCTAGGCATTTTGCAGTTTTTTTTTCCTGCACTGATGAGAGGTTATACCTCGAAACCGGTCTGTAGGTGATCTGCTCGATCGATGTACTGCAGCTGGATGACTGCGAAACATCTGCAAGACTACCCTCTGTGAGGTGTCTTGCATGAATGTCTGTGGAATATAATTCAATATCCAGCGTGGTATCAGCAGGGAAAGTAGTTATTTACAGCAGCCATTATTGCCAGAACCTACGGTGTAGGTAGTTGGGAGAGATTATTATTTTGATATTACATTTTGAAATATTCATTTTGTAAATAAGTAATTGTCAACTTCTCCTAGAAGAATTCATAGAGTTGATCTGTTGAAGCGTCTAGGCAGTGCCAAGATAGCCTCAAGGATGTGTAACTCTTTTGAGTAAGTGATGGCAAGCTTTTTTCTTTATCCATTACATTATCTCTATCCCCTGGTTTGTGAATGGTTCTGATGAAACTATTCCCCCCAAAATTATAGGAAAAGCTTATAGTTAAAGACAAGTTCAATAATGCAAAAAGAAAATTAAGCACAAGCACATATACATTTTTTAAAATTAAACTGAAGGAATTCCATCAGATTCATTTGATGTCCCATGAAATGAATATTTGGTAACGTGATCATTAAGATGAATTTGAATCTGTGGTAGCGTGAGACATGTGAACGCCATATTTTCAGATAATCACTTTTATTTCATGTAGTCGGACAAGAGCGCAGAAAGTTTGGAAATCAGAAGATCGGTCAGATCGAGGAAAGAACCGGAACGACTACAGAGCAGAGACAGTGATAAAATAACCAGTGAAAAAACCAGTAGCAATAAAAACGAAGAATGGAAGTACAATGATGCCAGTTCCTCAGAATCGGAAGAAGAAGAAAGAGAAAGACCGCCGCCTAGTAAGAGAGTTGGCGCTAGATCCAGAGCCACAGCGGTGAAGAAAAAACCAGTGAAGAAATCGAGGAATAAATACAGCTCGGAAGACGAAACCAGTGAAGAAGAATCAGACGATGAACGTAGAAGAAAAGCCGGTTCTCGTAGAAAAGCTACAACGTTTAGTTATAAAGAAGATAGCGATGAGAAGACGGATTCGGAAGATTTGTTGGAAGTTGACACTACTGAAGTTGTTGAACCTGTACCTGAAGAAAAATGCGAGACTATCGAAAAGATACTCGCTCAAAGAAGAGGAAAGAAAGGAGGTAAATATTTATCACATAATGCATGTCAGATATAACTCATTTTATCTGATTGTCTAAAAGTGATAATACTGATAAAGAAATATGGGCAGTCATGTAACGCCAGTCATTGAAAATGCAATTGTATGTGATATATGCAAATAAGAATATATAACTCTGAGTGAGGTATATTCCAAAATGAAGATGCAAACACGTTTGTATACTAATAGATTTACTTACACAATCTTGGCAGGTTTCATCATATATGACAACACGAAAATTGGGGGACATATAAGTCAAAAGGCACTAAAACATCAAAAAAATATTGTAAAAAATATAAGTGGATATATTTTTAGTAATATAAATTTTTGTTTTTTGGAGTTTTTGGCAAAAAAGTTTTGACACTCTAGATCCCAGGACAATTGAGCACTGCGAAACCCTAGTATGGAATCTCATATTTTTTCAGTTTGAATAGGGCCGTGTGTGAGAGATATATAGATGTTTCGTTCGATTTCACAGTCATGTGGTTAAAATTACTACTGCTAGGTTATGAATATAATAGATTTATTTGGAATGACTCATGTCGTCCTTTTTAATCTGATAGATCTAGGATCGTAATCTATCAGATCAGTTAAAAATCAAATTGTTCGCCTTTGCTCAAAGGGATAAGAAGCTTCAAGAGATTGGTGAAAATGTATAGAAAGTTATGCAAAAATTAATGCAGAAGAAGACAGCAAAGCGGATGTGAAGATGTGAACGTTTGTCGAATTTTTAATAGATTCATTTAGCTTGTTGAATAATTTGTGTCCAAGAAAAGATAGCTCCTCTGAAATATAGGAACGCTGATTGGTACTAATGTATCTCTAGAGCGGGTCGGGTATAGAGTGATCAGACTCCAATCCTTGCCAAGAATATTTTGTATTAATGACGAAGCAGTTTTCACGTATCTGAAAATTTGTAAGCTTTTGATACTTTCGATTCTTCTACATTGTGGATTTTAGTTTCTCCCATAGCGCAGAATCACTTTTGGACAGTTATATCTCTGAAAGGACCAAAACTGCCCATCCTGTTGAGTGAACAGTTTTGGTCCTTTCAAATATTTTAAGTACCCCAAGGTTCAGTTCTGGCACCACTTATTCACGCAATTTAAATCAACGATTTCCATGACTTAACCAACTTGATCAAAGTATATCATCATGATAATGATACTTGATTATATAGCTTCAAAGATATAACACTAGCCAGTAAAACTATTAACTAAAATCTTCTCAGTTCAAAAGCTCATGTCATTTGTTTAGAAAAACATTTGAATCCTTGTCAATTTTGATTCTTTTGTGAATGAAATCACAAAGTTCAAAATTTTTCACATAAAAATGTTCAACTACTAGACAATGTTATGAAACACGATATATAATATACAATTTCATTACTTCGGACTTCCATTGTCTAATACGATTTGAAATCCCTGAAAGAACCAATGAAAATGAAAATTAAAATGTGTAGCTGAAAATAACAATTATATTGAACAAAAAATTAGGAAACCTGAAATTACAATAAAATACAAGTAAAAAATTGAACAATTGAACAAAAAATAAAAATAAAAAATTGGGAGATTCCAAGCCAAGTTTCTTCACGACGTTTCGATTGTTAATTTCCGCAATTCTTTCTAATTTTTCATTTGTGTTCGAACTAGTCAGTCCTACCGTGATTTCCTTTGATTTAAATATCTTTATTTTTCAAAAAGGAAAATTATCTTTATAAATCAACAATTGAGGCAAAATATAAATTATGGTTCAATACCACCTCCACAAGCCACATAAACAACAGTTGTTTTGTTATTTATTTATATAGAGGAAAATAGGTTAGGTGCACAAAGTGTCATATGTCAGAATGTCTCGGAACTCGGAGCATAAGTAAACAGAACAGCACGCCTCTGAAATATGTCATCTTTGTTTGTCTCATACAGGTAAGAGATTCATTGTCCTTTATTATCTATAACCGATGTTGCCAATTGCTGAAATAGAAACGAATCCTTTAAATGTTGAATGCATTATTTCATTCCTTTTTCTTAAGTATTTAAATAATTTTTCAAAGAAAAAGGTTGAAATGATAAGTTTAAAATGCGTTGTTTTAGAGCTCTTTTATGAAAACTACTTGATTTTCGTCAGGAGGAACATTCCCCATTGTCTTCGGGTGATGACTGTTCAGTTTTAATTTTTTTGATTGTTTTTTATTTTGTAATTTCAGCGTTTTTTTTCAAATAACTTCCAACAATTGCACAATTTTTCGCTGCTTCTAATTTTCCTTTACCGACATTTTCAAGAGAAAGTAATGTTTCGGCAAACTTTAGGGCCCTATCGAAGCTATGTTTGTGTCACATTTGACCTTACATTGTCAATCTGAGGCCCATAAGAAGGTTCTGTAATTGGTCACCATAAAATTATTCAATAGCTTTCATGGTATTACCCAAGCAGAATACACTCATATATTCACGAAAGATATATTAACTTTTTATCAGAATTTTACACATTTATTTTATTGTTTAATAAGCATATTTTTGAAAAAATCGTAATACAGTTTTAATGTTTTATATTATCTAACAGTTACTGGCAACATAACTACATGTTACTACATTGAGGAACATGGTGATCCAAATGAAGGAGTTGACGAGAAGGATTTGGAGAACACTGAAGATCAATATCTTATCAAATGGAAAGACTGGGCACACATTCACAATACCTGGGAATCTGACGCAAGCCTCAGGGAACAGAAGGTGAAAGGCCTTAAAAAACTAGAGAATTACATAAAGAAAGAAGTCGAAATTCAACAATGGCTGAAATACTCTTCACCGGAAGATGTGGAATATTACGAGTGTCAGATGGAAATGTCCCAAGATCTCCTGAAAAGCTATAACGATGTTGAAAGAATAATAGGTGTGTTACCGGTGTATTGGCAATGGTGCTTTTTTCTATAGTGTTTCTTTACAGCTAAATATGACAAACCTGAAGATGGGGTTGACTACTTCATAAAATGGACGAGTCTGCCATATTCTGATTCCACGTGGGAAGATTCTGGTCTCATCCAAAAGAAGTGGCCTAACAAAATTGTCGAGTTTCAAGATCGAGAAAGGTCGACAAGGACACCCACCAGGCACTGTAAAGTACTTAAATATCGTCCCAAATTCCACGAGGTCAAAACCCAACCAGAATATATGACCGGAAGAGACAATGTAAGTGGATGTTTTAGTTAGTTACGCTAAAAATGTTAATTTATTGATAAATTTACCGTTTATTTGCTGGTGGCATAAATGGCAATTTTCTGATTTCTGGATAAGTCCTGGAATTTGTGTTCCACATGATGAAACTCATTTGTATCTTATCAATGTGTTATCCTTGGTGTTCATTTCACCTCGTTTTAACTTAGAAAACCACTTTTCAACAATTGATTTTCTGGTGCAAAGTCCAAATAATGTTTATCAAGTTAAGTCTTGGCGTCATCAGTATTTTTTTTTCACTAAAAAGTAATGCCTTAACAACACAGAAATTCCTCTTTATCCATTTTCTTCAATCTAACTGAAGTTGCTTCACTCAAAATGTTTCTATCTCTCAAGCTAATAGTCCGATAGCTGTGAAATGTGTAGAGATGTCTATTGAAGGTTAGAGTTAACTAATAATCATATGGATACTAGTAGCGCCATCTGTGTGTTAGCCTACAAACTTTTCTGTGCATCTACTAATGGTGCATACGTTTTATGGGCTAGGAAAATAGTCAGTACAAATGCTTACACTTCCAAAAAAGTATTTATTGTGCAACAGTTTATGTACATTATATCGAGATCTGCTGGGACATTGAAACAAAGAATTCAATTGAAATTTTAATAATTTTCTTCTGATTTACCTCCCAATTTCAGCAGAATATTACAGGCAATGTAGTTCAAACCACTTGGTTACGTAATAACTGTACTATATTCTTTTTCAATGTAAGTACAAAGTAAACGAAGGTGTGACGATTTGTCGTCTGAATCTGTACTTTGCCGTTGTTTATTTTGAGTCTTGTCTACCTGAGCTCAGTTTTCATTGACTCATTGCAATCTTCTTCAGGTTATGTTCACATAATTGAAGCGTGTTTCTGTTTTGATGGAAACTGCCTTGGAATTGATTATAGTATGAGTATGTAATAAAAAACTTGTACTATGATGAAGGTTGACATTTTCCAAGTTTATTTTTGGACATTTCATTAAATTCATCATAATGTAAAACAGTATGTCAATGCAGCAACACAAATTCGTTCTTTGTCATTAAAAATTTATAAAACAAATCAATTTTTAATTCCGAAATGACATTTTTCGAGCCAAATTATATCCTTCTCTTCAAACCCCTCGGAGTGACAGCCCCCATTATAAATTGAATAAAGCTGACTTTCATAGCCTATTTGAAAGATTTTAGTTCTCTTTCGACTAATTGATTTCCAGAATTTTGCATATTCTCCAGCAAGAAAATTGAATATACAATTTTTCATATTTGAGGATTTGTACTAACGTGAGGATGGTTTCAGAACTTGATATTAAGGGACTACCAGATACATGGTTTGAACTGGATGATACACTCTTGGACTAAAGAGAACTCTGTTATACTGGCTGACGAGATGGGTCTTGGTAAAACAATTCAGGTAATGTAAAGTTGCAGGTAAATACAAGATTGATTTTTTAGATTTTCTAACGGAAACTATTTTTTGTTCAGACCATTTGCTTTCTGTACTACCTCTTCAACACACATCAGCTTCACGGGCCTTTTCTGTGTGTTGTGCCACTCTCAACGATGACGTCTTGGCAAAGGGAGTTCACCCAATGGGCCCCAGATTTGAACTTCGTCACCTACCTGGGAGACGTCCAATCAAGAGAAACGGTAATGGTTTTTTTCAACAGTTTTAATAATAGTGATTGATTATTGATGGAAAACGAGTTCATTATATGTATTAACTTGCAGATCCGGCAGTACGAATGGTGTTACGAAGGATCAAAGAGACTGAAATTCAATGCTATTCTTACGACATATGAAATTGTTCTCAAAGATAAAGCTTTTCTGGGAAGTCTGAGTTGGGCTGTGATTTTGGTAGACGAAGCTCACAGGTAATGAAGCCTTTTGATTTATTGTTGATTTATAACATCATGGAGTATTTTTTTTGTTAATAATGTGTCATTTGAATTCCAGGTTGAAAAATGATGATTCCCTTCTGTACAAAGCTCTAATGGAATTCGATACTAATCACAAGTTGCTTATTACTGGTACCCCACTGCAGAATAGCCTTAAGGAATTGTGGGCACTCCTGCATTTCATAATGCCTGCCAAGTAAGTAGAATTGTTGAAAATATTATGGAATTTTCAAACAGAACCGAATAAGTAGTTTTTCACTTTGCATTTTTTGTAATAAGGTTGCGTGAAATGTAAACATTTATAACTACTTGAGTTGTGTACGAGGTTTTTTAAAAAAATGAGGTGAATTTTCATTTTTCTCAAAAATTTTTCATCAATTTCTATTTTGTCCTCTTCAAAGTAGTTCCCCTCAGATATAATACACTTGTCCCAGAGATTTTCCTAAACTTCGAAGCAGTTTATTGGTCGTTGATATGCTAGGGCGTCTCCGGGGCGAGTGTCGTCGTTCACATTTTCTCGACCTTCTGTGAAAATCTTCTACAACTTGAAAATATTTTTCTGACTCAGAGTACAATCACCGTATGCCACTGTCAATAATAATAATAAAGTGTTTTTGAGCATTAAAGCCTTTTTTTGCACAAAATTTGATGCAAATTCTTTGTTTCACCCTTTTTGATAGCAGAAAGTTACCGAAAACGCAAAACATTTCTAACTCTCATGCTGTCACCAACAAACTAAACGTGCTGAAAAGCTGAAACTGTGAACATATGCTCGAGTGTAGTAACCTGAATCGCTAATAGAATATACGTAGACCGCGAAATTTGAACCTTTACCTTATTTAAAAAAAAAAACTCGTATATACAGGGTGGGCTATCGAAAACTTGACATGGAGGTTTTGGGTACTAATTTTGCAAATCCTGAAAAACGCTCAGGCAGGTCGATTTTTATTGGGAGGGGGGCAGTTTTTTCCCCATGTACAGCGTCGTCACTTCAACCCCGGAGCAGAGGGGTGAACAACCCTTGGAATTTCAATAGGGAATAGGGGGTGAGTCGCACATCATTTGAAAGAACTTGGAATTCTCTAAACATTGGACGTATTTAAAAGAGTTTTTTCCGATGATAAACTTTTTTAATATTGTTAATAGCAACAAATTGTTGTACGCCACTGTTCAATTGGAATGTATTTGGAACTCTTTCATTTGTTTTTATTCGTACAAATTTAAAAAAAATGTACACCGTTGTTTAGAGAATTCCAAGATCTTTCAAACGATGTGCGACTCGCCCCCAGCTCTATATTAAAATTCCAAGGGTTGTTCACCCCTCTGCTCCGGGTTTGAAGTGACGACGCTGTAAATGGGAAAAAACTGTCCTCCTCCCAATAAAAATCGACCTGCCTAAGCGTTTGTTAGGATTTGCAAGATTAGTACCCAAAACCTCCATGTCAAGTTTTCGATGGCCCACCCTGTATAATAGAAACTAGTTTATGTTGTTTAGTTTGCTCCCTTACTTAGGTGACACATTGAATATTGTTTCTATTTTTCAGGTTTGATAACTGGGAAGACTTCGAGAAAGAACATGAGAACGCTTCCACTAAAGGATACGGTAAACTTCATAAACAACTGGAGCCGTTCATTTTGAGAAGGGTGAAGAAAGACGTGGAGAAATCTTTGCCTGCTAAGGTTGAGCAGATTTTAAGGGTAGAAATGACGTCTATTCAGAAACAATACTACAAGTGGATTTTGACAAAGAATTACAATGCTTTACGTAAAGGTGTCAAGGGTTCAACGACTACCTTCTTGAACATAGTGATTGAATTGAAGAAGTGTTGCAACCACGCCTTTTTAACGAAACCGACTGAATATGAGAATCAGAACTCTCAGCAGGATCATTTGCAAATGTTGTTGCGTGGATCCGGAAAACTAGTGCTACTGGACAAATTGTTGATCAGGTTACGTGAAACTGGACATAGAGTTCTAATATTCTCTCAGATGGTTAGAATGCTTGATATTCTTGCCGAATACCTCCAGCTTCGCCATTTTCCGTTCCAAAGGTTGGACGGGGGAATTAAAGGCGAGTTGAGGAGGCAAGCTCTCGATCATTTCAATGCTGAAGGATCGCAGGACTTTTGTTTCCTCCTGTCTACCCGCGCTGGTGGTTTGGGTATCAACTTAGCTACCGCAGATACTGTGATTATTTTTGATTCCGACTGGAATCCTCAAAACGATCTTCAAGCCCAGGCAAGGGCCCATAGAATTGGACAGAAACATCAAGTTAATATATACAGGTACTGTTGCTGATGTTTTTGCAGGAATGTATCTCACCAAAAAATTTATAGGTTGGTTACAGCCCGATCTGTTGAAGAAGAAATCGTTGAGCGTGCTAAACAGAAAATGGTGTTGGATCATTTAGTCATTCAACGAATGGACACCACCGGGAGAACCGTTCTCGACAAGAAGGGCTCTTCCAATAATAATCCGTTCAATGCAGAAGATCTTACCGCCATTTTGAAGTTTGGGGCCGAAGAGTTATTCAAAGATGAGGATGAGGATGAAGAACCTAACGTAAGTTATGAAATGTTAAAATAATTTCTAGGTACTTCTGTTTGAAGAAAATAAAACTAACATGGGCCATTTTATTTCTGTGTAGCAGCACGTAGCGTGAAGTAGATGTTCCGATTGTAGGTTAAGAGATTTGATTGATTTCATGCTAGTAAAGTATTGATTGATTGATTTATGTCAAATTGGATATGACTAATTGCATGTGTAGTTGGATTCAAAACTGAATGCAGTGCTTTTTTTAATTATTAGTTCAAGCATAGGGTACATTTTTAAAAAACAAAAACTTGAACTGTTTATAATTTTCTTCTTAATACCCTGGTGAAAATCAATAACACTATCATGAATTATTGAAATGTGTCATTGCTTGAAATTGCAAGTGTTTTCAAATCTCAAAATTTTCTTATTCGTCAATTATATACATTAAAAATAAATGTATTGAAAAAGAAACAGTTTACATAACCACAAACTTTATTTTTCTATACAGTAGCTTCCGCTTCCTCAATTGTGTTTGATACGGAGCTCCCAATATGTCTAGCTATTATATTATGGAACTGTGTTGCAGTTTTGTAGCAATATTTTTCAATATGTTTATTTGATTCCAACTCGGGGACAATCGGTGTTTACTGTGTATCGTCTTAACCATCCCAAGGATCGCACGTTAAAAGGTAAGACCTCGTCAATCCTTAGCTCGTACTAGGTTGTCATGTGTACGGGAACTAAAGCTGGTTGATAGAAAAGCCCATTTTAACCTAATTTTTCATAACATATAGAATTACAGAAAAATTATCGTCAATTGTGAGAAGCCATTTTTTTTATTCTTCATTCTGTTAGTATGAAAGATATTTTGAATTTTAGTATTGATGAGTCAAATACCTGAAATATCATTTCAAAAAGAGCACTTTTCATAGGCATATTGATGAACTATTTGAATGAGAAAAAATTGTTGAATGCTGATGATTACTGATGTTCAAAATTTCTCTAGCCTGAATGACCCTTTAAATTTTTCACTTTTGAAAACTATATAAAATTATTTTTAATAGTACTTAATTGAGCACACATGATCATATTTCATGTCACAGACATGGGCTGATTAAAAATTATTGTGTTAGGAATCACACGTTAAAAGGTAAGACCTCGTTAGTTCTTAGCTCGCACAAGTTTCTCAACTTCTGAGAGTTGTCGTTCATATGGGGGCGGCAGCTGATTAACGGAAAAACAGATTTTTTGTTTTATATGTTTATTTCAATTAGAGTATTTTTTTTCTTAGAGGTTTCTTGATCTTTCAGGTGATTTTTCATAATTATTTCAAATATGTTAGTGTTATACAATGCAGAGGCTAGATTTACTTTTCTCTTCAAATGGCAATGTTATTTCACTACACTACTTATAGATGCAGCAGTTTTCTTAATCCGGCCTTTAACCGGCGTAAACACTTCCTAAAGGATTGCTATATTGCTTTTCCTGGACTAAATGATTTGGGGATCCGGCCTCCAACCGACGTAAACACCATTTCAGCCACTGACTTACGCAATTTTTAACTGTTTGAATAATTTACTAGGACGCTTCACAAAGCAGTGAAAACGTTTTCCGGAAAATTGCACAGGAGTACACGCCTTCAAACAAGTATTTTCCGCTAGTCTATTCAAAAGCCGCTATTTTTACCGGAAGTCTGTTAAGAGGAGAAATAATTAAATAAATTGCGATTTTCTCGAGTCAGTTGAAGCTCAGCTTTCAAGTTTCGAGAGGGAAAAAATTGACCTCACATTCTATGATACAATTTGGAAATTCTGACTTTAAACTGCGAATTCAAGAAGTATTCTATATAACCTAACGTAACTCAAGAATTGGTATTACTCAGAGTTAAACACGGGAGCCAAGTTCCAACTGTCGCGAAATGCTACACCACGATTAATGAAGTGTTGGTGATGTGAAGCATAACGCATATTTTACTGAAAATAACTAAGAAGCTTTTTTGGTTCCTATTCACTTGATCAAATAAGTGATAGTAGAAATACATTTTATCGAAATTTTGTTAACTAGGTAGTTTTCTTTTGTGCACCCTGATCACTCGATCAGAACACGTTCAGGTAACGAACCTGGTTTTTTGTTGAAATTTCAAGTTATTGTAAATGTAGAATTTCATTCCTGAAATATAAACGCGTTCATGTTGAGAGCTTATTCAACAGTGAATTTGTTTAATTTGATTTTTTACCAATTTAGAAATCTAGTGCAGCTAACTCGACTAGTATCAATTGCCTACTTGTCAGGGGATATAAAAATCACATGTGTGTCATAATTTACCTGTTTCAATGTGTGATGTTTCATTATTCATTTCGTAATGTTTCATTTATTACAGTGTGATATTGATGAAATTCTAAGACGTGCTGAAACTCGAGATGAAGCACCAACATTGGTTGGTGATGAACTTCTCTCGGCTTTCAAAGTAGCTAGTTTTGCTGCCTTTGATGAGGACGCTGAGCCTTCTCCTGTAAATAATGTGTTAGGAGACGAAGAAAGTAAAGATTGGGACGAAATCATTCCTGAAAAACTACGAAAGAAAGTGGAAGAAGAACTGAAAAATAAAGAAATGGAAGATCTGTATCTTCCCCCGAGAAGCCGGAAAACCCTGCAGCAAATAAATCAATCTGAAAGTGATGGAGAAGAGGGCAAGGGGAAAAGTAAGAAAAAGAAAGATGGTGATGAATCAGGCGGGTCCAGCTTGGAAGGAGAGGAATCTGATGAGGAAAAACCTAAAAGGCGCGGTAGACAGTCTGGAGGGGCTAAAGAAAAATTTAAGAATTTCACTGATGCTGAGGTAGGTCAACAGTTCTTAAGTTATACAATTTTTTCACAGCTTGGATCTGACTTAGTTCTTGTATTTAGTCTGGGGTGAATGAATAGTTGCAATCCAAAAATTTTTCGAATGTATCATATTTACTATACAGAATCTACTAATTTGAGAATTCCCACTCATTACCAAGACTGTCTAACATGTTTTTCATAATACAGGTGAGACGTTTCATAAAAAGTTACAAAAGGTTCAGTGCTCCCCTGAAACGTTTGGAAGCAGTCGCTGTTGATGCTGAACTTCAAGAAAAACCACTTGCAGATCTGAGGAAACTTGGTGAACTACTCCACGAGAGATGCAGAGCTTACATGAATGAACAAGCCAAAGAAAATACAGAATCTAACACGCAGGATGAAACAAAAGGCCGCAAAAGGGCACGTGGCCCTTCATTCAAACTAGGGGGTGTATCTGTCAATGCTAAAACCATGATGGCATGCGAGGAGGAATTGGAACCCCTCGATGAAATCATCCCTTCGGACCCTGAAGAAAGAATCCGTTGGACTTTTGATGCCAAAACCAAGTCTTCACATTTCGATGTGGAATGGGGATCGGAAGAGGATTCAAAACTTCTCAAGGGTATATACATGTATGGACTTGGGTCCTGGGAACAAATCAAGATGGACCCTTCACTAAATATTGGGGACAAAATATTGTTGAATGAAGACAAAAAGCCACAGGCAAAACATCTGCTCTCCAGAGCAGAGTACCTTCTTAGGATAATGAAGAAACAACTTGATGCTAAGAAGGGATTGGGTGTCCAAAAGCCAAAGAAAACTCGCAAAGTGAAGAGTAAGGATTCGAAAGTTGTTCCATTGACTAAAGAAATAATAGAAGATGATATTAGCTCCAATGACGAATCTACAACACAAACCAGTGCTACTTCTGCTGCTACTACTACCACCGCAACTGGTAGTAGTACAGTCTCAACTCCTCCAGTGAAGAAATCTAAGCATGCGAAGAAAGACAAAGAGGAGAAAGAAGATGAGGTCAGGGGTGCTGATAAAAAGGAAAAGAAGAAGGAGAAGAAAAAAGGAAAAAAGACTTCGGGTCCCATGCACTTTTCAACTAATGAAACGATTGCATTGAATGTCTTGGGAGATTTAGAGCCTGCGAAATTTTTGATTACCAAATGTTTTATAAGTTGTTTTGAATGTACATTTTTAACTAGAGGGAGGCTGTGGTGATGTCAAGTTTGATATAGAAAGCTGGCCTACCAACACTGTATTATTAGTGTACATACAGATAGATAAATATGTTTTGATATTATTTGCTGAAGGTGATTTTAATAAACTCCTATCTCCTAATCCCATATTTCTTTTTCCTTCAGTGTAAATACATCTAACTGAAAATCACCAAAATGTCTTGAAGTTTCAAACATGAATTCACTTCCACAATGTCTTTCAAGGCAATTGGTTCACCACTAGTCATTTTCTAATACAACTATTGAAGTAATTTATGGAGGTAAATACAAAAAGAATATCAATGAAACGGTATTTCTTGTTTTTACTTTCTCGATAGCAAAAACCAAGATTCAAGATCTGCCTGACAGTATCCTTATGGCTTGGATATCTCATCATCAATATAGTTCAAGTTATATCTAAAAATTCCTAAACAGTAACATCCGTAGTATTTAAAGTCTCATGATGTTTATCTGTCCATCGTTATATTCATTTCTATGTTTTTTAATAGGATGGTCCTTCCACAAGTAAGGACAAGATAAAAAGCCAGTCAGCAGAAGCAAAGGAACACAAAAGGAAACATGAAAGTGACGCCGAAAAAGATGATACGAGTGTTTCTAAGAAGCATCAATCTGATAAGTAAGTATCACAAATGTCACCCTTTTCAGTTTTTTCAAAAAATAAAACCTTTTTTTTTTAAATGTTTGTCATAATTTCTTTCAAAATTGTCATAAAACTTTTTTCCGTTTTGAGTTGATATCTCGAGAAGAATTTTGGTGAACAAATTTTTGTATACAAATCAGTATCAACTATTATCAGTTCTCTGAAGAGGTGGTAGTGTTGGATAGATCCCTAGAAGTTGAAAAAAACAATGTATCCTATTTTATAAACCAACAAGTTTTTTAGGATTCGATAAATCATAAACCCAAACAGTGGATTGTTAGTTTCCAATTCATACAAACATCAACTTTATGTCACCCATAACAATATTGTATGAGGGTGTTGAAGTTCCACAGTTCAGCTTTTTGAGCATTTCTTTATACTAATTCACTCACTTGTTTTTCTGAGTATCGATCAAATTGTTGATTGAATGTATTTCTATCTGTGATGTGTCAAAGTCATGCTTCTAACTGCAGTATATTTCATGTAAATTTTCTCCAATCATCCTGTTAATGACATTGTTTTTTGGAATTACAACCGAATTTGATTGGGTAACTGTCAACATTGATTTCTGGGTTTGTTGGCTGTGTTCTATCAAAACCCTTTGAGTTATTTTCATTTCTCCACACACTTGCTTTTTTGGAACACTTGTCAATACCTACACTGTCAAATTTTCTATGCTGCCCCTGTTTCTAGAATAATGAAACGCAAATTTCACAAATATCGTGATGCCACTTTTCAGCAGCACCATCTAGTGGTGAAAACATAAAAAAAACTCTTCCAGGGTTTTAAGTCCAAGAATAATACGAATGAACTATGAAATAACTTTTATTTAGCTATAAAAGTACATAATTTCTGATTCATAATTGTTTTTGTAGGAAAGAAAGAAGGGACAAATATTCCGAGAAAGAAAAAGAGAAAAAGAGACAACGTGAAGAAAACAGCGAAGAAGATGAATATCGCTTTGCACGTCACAGAAAACCCGGAGGTTCTCAAAAGGCACCATCACCAAAAAAAATGTTTCGTCACGAGCAGCTTATAAACAATGAACATGAATATGATAGGTGGAACGTGCATCAGCCACGAGGTTTTTCCGGAGAGCACAAGAGACCGTTTGATTACCAAAGAGGAGGAGGAGGTCCTCTCCCTGTTTTCCATAGAGAAAGGGATTACCCTAGACCCGAAAAGAGGTATGGAACTTGAATGTAAATTCTGTTTACGAATTGAAACTTGATAAAACTTCTAAGTCTGAACTTAGGAAAATGCATACACCTTGTGGAATTCAGGAATTCTTCAATATCCCTACAGATCTTTTATTCTATAAATGAGACATTATTTTTTAGTCTCGTTTATGCAATTATCAGTCAACATGAGACAATCATCTGATGCTATTTCCAGAAGTTTACATATAAATGGAAAATGTTCAAAATTTTATTGTGCTATGAGAAATTTTCAAATTTTTTCAGTAATTGTATGTCCATGAACCTGACCTCCAATATTTTATTTGAAAAGCTTATGGTTCAGCTTTGGACAAGATTATTTTATCTGAAACATTTTTTTNAAGGATTAACGAGGTCTTACCTTTTACCGTGTGATTCCTAACACGGGTTGGACGATAGCAAGTGAAGATCGATCGTTCAGACTAGGGCTTGAACCACCGACCAACACGGCAGTCAATTCGAGTGAGTGAACAAATAACCCACTCCGAACCGCTTGGCTATTGGGTAGCTGAAACTACCCAATAATTTCTTTTATTTTTTCAATGGTAAGTTAAGCTTTTATCCAAGGAAACGATGCGCCATCTTTTGGAGAGTAGCAGAAATATATAAAAAAGCTTCCATTAATCTTGATCTCAAGTATTTAATAGTTTTAGCTCTTTTCCAACAGATGGCGCACTGCAGCTGCTATGAAAGTATTAAAATGAAATGGTTGGTTTCATATACTTTCCAAAAGAGGCCGGATTACTGTTAGTCAAAAATACCATTCAAACGGCTTTAATCCTTGTTTGAAGAGAATTCAATTTCTCTAAAAAAAATAAATATCGCCAACTCTCATATGGTGTTTTTATAGTTTCAGTAACTCTGAATAATGGCAAACCATCACTGGTTAAAGGTAAGCTCGCTAAAAAATATAGTCTGCCTACCTTCTAACATTTGAAAATTCAGCGAGCACATAGTTGCAGTCAGCGGTTTCAAACTTAAATCACGCTGTCTATTTTTTAACAAAATACTCAATTTCCAGTTTTTCTCACAAAAGGAGAGATGCGCCATCTTTGTGAGAGTAGCTGAACTATATAGACAAGCATTCATTACTCTAAAAATTCAAGTGTTCAGTTTCAGCTATTCTCCAACAGATGACGCACCACAGCTGCATATACATGAACACGAAATAATTAAAAAATACCACTCAAGTGGCTTTTATCTTTGTATATAATGCTTTTATCGTTGTTTGAAAATAATTAAATTTTTCATAAAAGAAACAATAAATATCACCTCTCAGATGTAGTGTTTTTATAGTTTGTTTCTTTCTGAATGATGGCGAGTCACTACTGGTTAAGGGTAAAATCGCTGAAAAATATATTTTCATCACGGACTCTACAAAAGATAACATATTTCTGACATTTGAAAATTCAGCGAACAAAAAGTTGCATTCAGTGGTTCCGAACTTAGATCACACTGTCAATTTTTAATAAAATGGCATCGAAACAACCCTGTCGATATTTTGTCATATCCAGTGATATACTATGTGGACACTAAAATTTGTCAGAGTTATATTTTGTGAAAGGAATAGCAAGTCCACATTTCAGAATAATAACACAGGTGACCTATCTGTAAAAGGTAATATGATGTCGTTCTAAACCTCCGGGGTACACAAATATGTCTTGACGACTTTAGACAAAATTGCATTCAATGGGTGCGAAAAGACAAATCAATGAATATTGGAATTTTATCCCAACACCAAACCATTATTTTCAACACCTCGACACATGTTTCAATCACCAAGTGATCATCTTCAAGAGGAATACTAGATTTAGT